CGTTAAACTGGTACACAATTAATAATACACAAATAACTGGTACACATCCACTCCTGAGGATGACGTTGTAACGTCGAAACATGAGGAGTCGTCAACTTTTTGAAGGCCATAAATAGGCCTAAATAAAATGTTTTTAATTGTGTACCAGTTTAACGTTGAATATTATTTATGATTTTAATATATAAATAACTTAAGCTAAAGGAGCTGGAAATGAATAATGATGCTGCATTTCATTACCCGTTTTTAAAAGAGCACAACTAACCTAGTAGTTCCCCCTCAGTCTTGTCAGTTTAGAAGTGGAAAGAAACAATGTATATCGTATTGGAGGAGATCGTCATATTATTCTAGTATGGTTCTCAACTGTAGGTAAGATAGAGGCTGAACAAGAAGGTAAGACGAACTACTCACCCACTTTTAGTTATGGTTAAATAACATCACGAAAACAAGGTACTGTCATTTTGAAGATTGTTATAATTCTGTTACTGATGTATGACGAAATTTAGTTAGACAATGGAGATAAGATTAACTACTTGTCTAATATACAGTTAAAAAATATAACGAAAACTGAAGTCATCAACAATGTTTGTCAACTTATAGTTTTTCATTATTGTTTCTGGTAGTCTTGTTTATAATTTAGCACTAGAAATAAATGACCTTATAACATCAAATTGTTGTTTTTCTTTAATTTAACACTCAACGTTTCGCTTTACAGCTTCTTCAGGAGCGTTCCACTAAAACACAAACTGTAACTGACAGTACAGTGCTTCACCTTATCCATTTATACTCAAGTCTTGAGTGACATTATTTTTTTTTTCTCTTTTTTTATGTCTGATTTTATGTTCATAAGCCAAATGTAGAAACTGGGAACTTTTCTTGGGAGATTTTTTAAAACTACTTGGTTTTGTTGAATTAGCCTTAGATGTTTGTTTTTAAATCAATTTGAGCTGTTGTTCTTATGAGTTTGAGAGTGTGAGCTAGAGATGAAGTACTACAGATAACATGGTCGACGTTTGAAAACTCATTATTGAATTTCTGTAGTGCATATTGGTTACGTTTATAAACCCACAAAACATTTGCGGTAATTCCTTCGCTTGAATTTTCCTTATTCTATCATTTTCACGTACCCCATTTAAGCTGTGCTTTCTTACAGGCGTTATGTATTAGATTGATAAATCATGATCCATTTTTTAAAAAAACTTTACACGACAGACAATCAAACTTAGGTAAACGTAACTTTATTTAACAAAACAACACGTAGGTAACTTTATTTAATAAAACTACACGTAAACAGTAATAGTATTTATAATAGTGTTCAGGGAATCAAACAGTTATGAGCGTTCAGTGTAAAACATGGTTTTTTTTGGTTAAAACAATGCAACACACAAAAAACGAAGAATAGAACCCGTAGTATAAAAAGTAGCTAAAAGGTGTTTAAAACAGTGTATGAAACGAACCGAAGATACATTATAGCAAAGTAAATCTAAAGTTGTAATAAAGGCAAACTTAGCTGAATATGCAGAAATATCTGCACGAGTTTTCACAAAGTGATAAGCATATGGTTTTGAACAAACTGCGCATGCGTATTTTAGATTTAAATATGTCGAGAAAGCCCATAGAAATTGTATTTAGTATAATGTTAATTTTTTTTTAGAAAATTATACGCGAATCAAATGCTGTGGGAAATATTTTGCAAATAAAAACAAACAAACTAAAGTTGAAATCGAAGCCAGTCGTCACGTGATGACAACATTGTTCCATTGTGTACCATACTCGTTGCATTGAAAAGTTTGACTAAGGAAAAAACAAGTAACATGATTCTGAATTGAAAAGCCAATGTGCAGTCCGCACTCCTCGAACAAAGGCCTTTCTAACGATATGAGATTTGTAGAGCTTGATTGAGAAATTTGCGAGAAAATTTACGGATGGTCAAACGCAAGTGTAATATTTTTTGAAAAACCTAGTTGTTGAATAGGATAGCACTGGAAATTACAGTGGCTTTCCCTTTTATTCTCTGTGAACAGCTGGAATTTACTATTTTAGGTAATCAATATGTACCGAACAGAACCTTCCTTGTTTTGAATTTCGCGTAAAGCTACACGAGATCTATCTGCGCTAGCCGTCCCTAATTTAGCAGTGAAAGACTAGAGGAAAAGCAGCTAGTCATCACCACCCACCGCCAACTCTTGGGCTACTCTTTTACAAAGGAATAGTGGAATTGACTATCACTTTATAACGCCACCACGGTTGAAAGAGCGAGAATGTTTGGTGAGACGGGGATTCGAACCCGTGACCCTCAGATTGCGAGTCAAGCGCCCTAACCTTGCATAGTTAACTGACAGATATACATTTTTACGATTTACCTTCTACTTACACTTTCGGCTTATTTTTTTCTTTTTACTGTAAATGCAGAATACTTAATAATAATTTTAGTTTATTTTTATTTCACCAGAAAGTATGCCGCCATTTTTTTACATTTACTAAATCTTTGTGATACAAAAAAAAAGTTATTTTCCAAAAACAATTATATCTAAATTCATTGGTTCTTTTTGAGAAGAATAAACCGGAGATTTCAGTCGCGAATATTACAAACACGAATTTGTAGCGATTACAATTTGATTTTCCTTTTTTTATAAAAATGTTAACTGTAGATAGACCCTTTGTTCTCCTGAAGAAGAATAGTCAACTATTCGAAAGCGCTCGAGTTTTGGGTCTTATTTTAAGTCTACTACACTTTATATGTGATCCTCTTTTATCAAGATTGAAAACTGTAGATATTATATTGTGGTACTGCACTCCCATACACGAATTGATCTCATTAAAGACGTTAGATTTCCAGGTACAGAATTAGAAGTAAACAAATATCATAAAAATTTATACTTAACCCTTTGACTGCGCGGAATTTTTGAGAATCGTACACATTCAACTACAGGAGGCAGACCGTACCCTATACGGCGAATCAGTAGTTAACAGCGCTTCCTATAGTTTACGAAAATGAAATATTTTGATTATTGTAAATAAATGATAATAATAATACATATATATTGAATAAATGAAATTATGACTATTTAATTTCTTGCTTTCACAACCATTCGCAGTGAAGAAAAATATACTGGTTTTTGTGATATTTTTGGTGGAACATAAATACGTAATTCAGTTAAAAATAAAAGTTGAATTAATTCTATATTGATAAGCTTCTTTGTTTTGTTCAATTTCTCGCAAACTTATTCGAAGTCTTTTCTGCGCTAGCTGTTCTTAATTTAGAAGTAATAGACTAGAGGGAAGGTTGCTATTCAACACCACCCATCACCAACTCGTAGGCTACTCTTTTAACAGCGAAATGTGGGATTGACCGTAACATTATTACGTCCCAACGGGTGATAGGGCGAACATGCTACGCGATGGGATTAAAACAAATTCAGTTGTTGTTATCTTTAGGCAAATTAGTGAACTTAGTATTTTCTATTGATAGCAACACTACTAAAGCTATCACCTCAATTTTGAACTAACGACCAAAGGGAAGGCAGCAAGTCAACTGCAGCCTACCACCCAACATCTAGACTAAGAGTTTGACTGCCACTCTTATAACGCACCCACAGTTAAAAGTGCAGAGAAGATTTTGAAGCATCATATGGAGTTAAACTCGGTTCACCAGCTCTGAAATCCAGAGATCTACTATGGGGTCATCTATACGATAGATTATCAAAGTCCAGAAAGATCTCATTTGTCTTCAACCTTTCTCATTTTGTATACGAATTCTTATTTCAGAAATTCAGCTTATCCAAAGCTACTCATCAAAGCATGTTGATATTTTTAAATAGTTTGTTAATGCAACAGTATTTTTGAAATCTTGACTAGCAACACTGTTGGTACTAGCTTCAAACTTAACTTAAACTAGATTGAATACTTTACTTACCAAAAGACATATTATAACAATATGTATTATAATAAGTGATAATTAAATATGCTTATATTTGTTTCTAATATTGCATTACAGTACCTGATTAAAAAAATAAAAAGACTCGCATTATTTTGGTTTTAATGATGTGTGTTATAGAAGCGTAACTTAGTTTTGATCCTAACAAGTGTATTACAAAAACTATTCAAACCTAAGCGCTTCCAAAACAATGTCTCGCAAAAGATAATTAAAAAGAAACGTGAATGTTCTTCCAAAAGGATGGAACTCCAGAGTATTGAATCTTTTTGTCTAAGAAAATTAGTCATAGTTTCTGCAACCCCTGACCAAGAATTCTAAAATTAATTTGGCATTTACTTTATTAACTAGAAAAAAAAAAGCTTTGGTATTTGCAAAAGAACATGCCTAACAACCTAAAGTTGTACTAACTTACACAGTGCTATGAATTTGATTAACAATATTTATCAGTAGAATGGCTGATTCTCCCTCCACCATTGGCCTTTTGTAGGTTTCACGTGCTAATAAAATAGTTTTTTTATTTGTATTTATTTTGAGGTTTTGTTTCTTTTGCATACAAGTCAAATTTCCATTATCAAATGGTGGCCTTAGATCTTTTAACCCCAAAGTCAATAAGCTTTTAGGCCATTTCCAAAGGAAATGATCTGTGAAGTTTGATAAAATCTGCTGTTTAGAACACTTCTACAGAAGAACGGACATAGTCATCACTACATTCCTACAAACCTTTTTGATCAGGGGGATAAAAAAAATACAGATCTGTTAAAGGTTTGGTAATTTTCTTCCTGCTAAAATACAAAAGCTTTTCGATTTTGTCGCTTTATAATTTTAGAATTTCATACAAGATATACAAACGTTATTTTAAATGTACATATATATATATTACTTTATTTGGTCCTCAAACTAAGACCATGCTGAGGTACCTCTGAAAAGGCCACAATGACAATGACACTCATAAAGTTGCCTCAATATTATCAGTTCACAAAATCATTCAGATGCAAAATTTGTAATATTATTAAGCATATTCAAACTCCATATCTACAAAAAATAACTTTTATTGACTTTTACAGTTTTTATGTATTTACAATTTGGCACAACTAGTATGCATATTTAAATGTAATACAAAGTGAAATTAATTAATTCAATGACATCAATCTGACTAAAAATTGTTTTTCAGAGGAGACAAATGTTGCTGTTGTTGAACTTTCAGTTCTTTATGGTCCTTTGTAATATTTAGTTCTTGTTTCTAATTCACTGTTTAAAACATTCATTATGATCTTACACAAACCTATAGAAGGAAATAAAGGTCTAGAACCTAAAGTACGAGATCTCAGCTTTACATCTTCAAAACTTGTCAACTTTAAAATAAAATCTTGCAGACAGAAGCTACATTTAATACATCTACACAGAACTCTTAACTGAATGATACTGATTACTTTAAAATGTCTAAAATAATGAATTACAGAGTACTGCATGATTCAGAGTTTTCAATCACAAAAAATAACATTGCCAGTCATGAAAATTGTTACCATTTCCTGATCAAACAACATTAATCATCATTTCTCAGAAACAGAAGTTGATAAGAACCTTAAACAAACACTGTAAAATGGGTTTTCAAGGTATTGTGATCAGTGAATATCTTAAAAACTTTAATAACACAATTATATACTTTATAATTTTTTTTTCTAAAAACTGAAATTCAATTTACCCAAAACTAGTTGAGCAATAACAGCTTACCTCTTAATTGTTTAAATACTTATTGTTCATTTCTGTTTAAGCATAAAACTACACATTGGGCTATCGTCACTATGCCTACCACTAGTATTGACCCCTGACTTTTAAAGCATTATTGACAACAGAGTTGGATGAATGACAAGTGAAAAATGTGTACATTGTGCACATTATAGATTGGAAAATCTTACATAATTATAAGAAATGTTTAAAAAGATTTCCTGAAATTTAGCAACTTTGTAAGAACATTCTATGCTGAAATACTTCCCACTATAGCATCCTTCTATGACCTCTTGATCACAAGATAACACTCTGAATATCAAACTTGATCAGAAAACAATCAAACCTTATTTCAAAAAATGAATTGTTTGGCATAAAAAAACCATGATAAACATCCATTATTGCTCGATTGATATAATTTGGGTTACAAATGTCATCAAATTTAGATGTTTGGATATTCTCCCTAACAACAGACCTTTACAATAGAGTATTAGTTTGTCTCTATGTATTTATATGTGTATGAGCCAATATTTAATCAATATTTTCACTGATACCACATGTGGAGCAACCATATGTTTTAAACTTTTTAAAGTAGTTCATCTACTTGGACAAAACAGTTTGAATATAACAGTACGTTGCTAGAATAGCATAAGTTACTCACAGAACAATCAACATTGTTCTCAAAATGCCATTGTTTAGTAGAGTGAAAAACTATCAACTTGTTTTTTCATTCAAGTGGATCAAACTACTCTTCAACTGTAAATTATTCATGACCTTAGGTTACTTGTAAGTAAATATTAATTGCTACTAAAGGTACCTTTATAACATTATCTCTTTACAAAAGCTCTTGTTATACTTGTTAGTTAATGGCTTTAAAGTCACAATTCATTGTTTCTACTGTTATTAAAGCATAGAAAATGTCTTATTATATAACATTAAGACAGTCATTAAATAAAACACGTGAATACATTCTAGCTTCTTGAAATGTTGGGTAAAAAAATCTTTGTAGAACAAAACTGAAACATGTCTTTATGCACAGGTGTAGTCTTAAAAAATTAAGCCTTCTTATATGAAAGATATAAAACTTTGTGTAACTTGAGTGACTTCATAAAACTCCTTTTTAGTGTTTGGGTTTAAAAGTGGTTCATGCAATTTCATCTCTGTAGAAATTTATAGAGTAACTCACATCATACAATGTGGAAAGCTGATTTTTTGCAATTTCAAATAAAATTAGAAAATAAAAATTATGCAAGAATTTATGATATATTTTGGAAGCTAGGAGTATCAAATCATATAAATTTAATTTATGAAACAGAAGATCTTAAACAGTCATTTGTACACATACCTAAATGTTGCAAAATGAATTTCTTTAATTCCTCCTACATAAGCCTGGAAACTCAAATTTTTCATTATTAATTATCCTTAACAGATGTGCTAATAGGAAAACAGGATATAAATGTGTGGAAACAAAATACACAATTATTCTTCATTCGGCAATAATTAAGATTTAATTTATTCTTAAGGTGTTTTTTGTGATTTTTGTCATATCACAGAAACAAGAGGTATACATTTATCACAATGTTATATGATTTGGAGACAACTTGATGATCACATACAATTTAACACAAAAGACATTACTAAAAGAAAAAATTAAGTTGTTTTTTGTCACTTTATATCTTACACGCACATAGAAAATGTCAATATAATTATAATAATGATACTTACTTTATTATCTGGTATTTTTATACATATTCAATTATCTGTGAAAAATCTCATGACTTTTATAATTAAATTGCAGAAAGTAAAGCATGAAACACTTCAGAAATACTAAACAAAAGTAATGAAGACAATAGTACAAATATTAAAAATGATACAAATTGCAGGAAACATTATCTGGAAGGCTAACTTGAAATTATTTCAGCCAAAAAGCAGGAGTTAGTATACATGGAAGGCTACACAAGTACATCACAGTTTTCTGGTCTTGGAATAAAATATTATACAATAAATAAATAAGTTTACAGAACAACATTTTCTCAGAATAAAAATGTAGTTGCTACCTGATATGTCATAAAGTGGAAGCTATACAGTTGATCTAAACAATACTCAAACTTGATCTTTTGGACACAAAATCACCTAGTTTTTGAAAACAAAACTAGATTTTCTTCGATGTGACATATATTATTATGTAACTGACTCTACACTTATATTTAGGAACAATTCAGGATTCAGATGAGGTTTGATTTTCCTTATCGCTGTGAAAAGTTTCACTATTGACATGTTTTTTATTCGAGGGATTTTCTGAGATTGCAGGCTTTACTGTCGGATTTACCTTATTTCTAGAATTACTATCTTCATCTTTTGTTTTAATTTTTCGTAATCGTGCACGGACAATTTGAAGGTGGCGCTGAATGTATTCTTCTTTTGGAGCAAGGCTAGCAGCCTGCAGTAAGCAGTTCTCACCGATTGTGAGTTGTCCACGCTCCACATACACGACACACAGGTTGTGTTTGGCTTGGACATTGTTAGGATCCATATGAAGGATCTTCATGTAACACTAAAAACCAACAAATTAGTGAAAACTAAACTACAACAGTATTTACGTGCAACAAAGAATACTTACAATACACAATAGAAAGAAATTAACACTTACAAATCATAAGAAGATAAGAATTGAAAATCTGATAAAAAAAAACTAATTTTAAATTAAAAAATAAATAATGGCCAAGAAGTTTAGCATTCATTTAACTTTCAGAGTTCACTAATCATTGTTTTTGAAATCATTTACTTGTGTGTGATACAACCTAAAGTTTCAGCTTAAGAATGATTAAAAACTGTTCTCTTTCACTGAATTGTAAACTACTCGAATACATACCTTATAAAAAGATAGTCTAATGAATGATATATTGAAAGTAACATAATCTTGTGTTAAAAAATCTCTTCTGTTTCAGGTTATAAAACAGATTTATCCATTCTAAGTATCTTACCAAACTTGATTTTATTATTTTTATCTACAACCTACACTTCATCAAATTTACAATACTTGTAATGTTTATACTAAACTAATAAGTAAATTAAAACAAATCTAGGAATTAAGAAACACCAACAAATGACACGTAATTTTCCTTTAACTTTACAATTATTTTTTCATCTGTTCAATACGTCTTGTATGATAGGATTCACAAAAATCTGAGAAATTTCACTTCTGTTAATTTTAAGAGGTACCCAAACACACAACAGTCACTGAAATTACTGATTACACAGAAGAAGAACTACTATAGTTAAAAAAAAAAACTTATATTTATTTGAAAATCATTATAAATACACAATTTAACCACAAAAAGTGAAACAAATTCTACCTTTTCTGCTGCTTCCAAGTCTTTCATGTGATTGATGTAGATATCTCCTAATAAAATCAGTCCTTTAATGTGATCAGGATGGTGCTAGAATAGGTATCAGTTTCAGTTTTTAATCAAATATATTACAAAACATGATTATGACAAATGTTCTGTTGAAGCTTAAATCTGTTGTGTCAAGAACACAAACTATTACAGTTATACTTTCTTCTTTACATATATTAGTACAGTGTTTTATTCTGTGATAAAGTAGAGCTAATTGCATTTTATAAAAATGATGCTTTCATAACATGCTTCCCTTGGAACTAGTTTCTCCATTATACTTAGTCCAATGGCCCTGATTATTAATTGTTTCCCACGCTTACATTACCAAATGGTGAGACTATTGCTACTACATATATGTGAGCAAACTTCCCACAGAATCCCATTATATGTGAGCATCGGTTTCAATTACCACTTTAAGCAGACCTGAACTACAAAGGTTTAGTGGAGCTGCATTGCGTAGCTTGACAAATACATAATAGAATGGAATTCCTGTGATTCCAGTTACCTTGTCCATCATTATCATCAATACACACATTCATTTTGATGTACAGCTACAAGCTTGTGGATTTTTGACTTAAAAGCTTTTGTCAACTTCAAATACTTATACATAATATTGTTAATGATAACAAGAGACATGTTCAACTTTATCTCAATGGCTTTTTGGATCAAGGGATTCTTTTTTCATAGCCGCAGATGAAGCTTTATTAAATGTTCTAATGTATGGGTTTTTTAACTTCCATAAAGAACACTGAAGGCCCCCTTGTCTAAAATGTTGTGTTATTTGGATCCACACTGCTTAATAATATCATTATGTAAATACTTTTCATTCACAGCCTTCCAGTCATAAATCTATTTACAGTAGCATTGTCCTGTGGAACAGTAGGGAATCACTGTTAACCAAATACACAGGTGCTAAGTACCTTGACGATGATGACACAGCTAACATCTGTCACAATACTCAACTATATTAGCATATTCCAATGAAGTGCACTATATCCTCTGTATTAATAAACTTCATAACCCTCTGTCAAACTTTTTCTCCTACAGTTTTATTGCTAAGAAACATGTACTTCTATAGCAGTATTATCAAAGGAAGAAATTCTGGTATACTTACATTACAACTTCACAAGTTTTTATATACATAAATCCAAAGATCAGAGCACAATTCATTAATTTACTTATCAATACAAGTATAATAATAATAACTGTAGGTTTAAGTATTATATATTATTTATTAGAGCATATATATTTTCATATTCAGCTATAAGATTGGTTCTTTAGTACCCATTACATAATGTGCCACATTAAAAGTATGGATGTTTTTCTCTTTATTTACAAGGTTCAACACTTCTATATCCAAAGTAAGATTATTGTATTATTCTACACAGTGCATGTAAATTAAAGTTATGGAACTCACTGCTAATGCAAACTACAAAAAGTAGTTATTTACACCTAACACAAGAATGAACATTCAAAGCTAATTCCTGAATAACAAAGTTACTTACCAAAGTACAGTTTATTTTATCGCAAAGGGTAAAAAAATTACATAACATAAAGGATGACATTTTATGTGCAATTATTAAATTCACAAAAGATTATCTTAAAATTACTATTAACTGCTTTAAACTGATGTAAAACTTTTAGTTTTAGCTATCATTTGGATTATCTGTTTCTGTAATTTGCATACCATTTTTTTATAGCAAAACCAAATTTTTTCTACAATAATTAAAACTTCCAACCTTCAGTAACTGTTTCAGAAAAGGCACAGCTTCAAGTGGACGCCCTGAATCTGATAGAAGCAATGCAAGATTGAAAAGTGCACTCCGAAAATCTTCTCGTACCTGAAATCAAAATGTGAAATGGCCAAACCCTTAGTGTAGTGGCAAAAATAAATTTGAGCTTACAACACAGAAGTAGTAGGTGATGTTTTTATATGGTCGAGTTAATAACATTTAGTATTACATCTTGAAATTCAAAATGCAAACAGAAAATATCAAAAACTATAACTTTATTTATTATTACAAAGTATAAGTTAAGACTATATTCTACAATTACAAAGTAAAACAACGTACTCTTCTTTACAGCTACAGTGAAAAACGTTACGATATACTCCAGTTACAGAGTGATGTGATATTACTGCCTGTAGTTACAATGTAAAGCTTTATGATATATTCCACTATTAAAGAAAGAAATGTGATATTATTGTTAACAGTTACAAACTCAAACACTTGGACACAGTACATTGTACTATTAAAAATAACATTAAAATATATTTACTCATGATAATATAAGTTAACATTTCCCTACATTGAAAATGTATTTCCCGATAGGTACTTACCTCCTCTCACCTGAAGCTATCTCACCTGATTTGTTCTCTAATCATTGCTTAAACATTTTTCACTAATAGCTCACTTGTCTATTATACTCCTATATTTTCACGCCCTTTCAGAATATGTGCATATCATATCCACCAATCATACTGCACAATCTATAATAACACAGGCAGCTCCCTCTACTATTCTTGCACGATTCTCACTTTTGAGAATTAGCAGTTACAAACTAAAACACTGGCACAGCAGTGGGAAGGAAGGGTGGGAAGTGGGTGAGAAGAGTTAAGAACCTATCGGAAATACATTTTCAGTGTGGGAAAATATTAACTTCTAAAAGAGAGTACTACCTCCTCTCACCCAAAGCTAGAATCCCACACTAAAAAAGGCAGAGGGCCAATGAAGGTGTGACAGTATTCAAATAAGCAGATATTTACCTGAAAAGAACAGATGTGCCAGAAGAAGAAAGTAAGGCACACCTGTGGGAAATAGCACTACTTCTGGAACAGGTTTGCTCCTCGCCCAGTAACAAAACAGTAATATATACATAGGGCAGAATATATAAAGCAGGCAACATATACACAAGAAAAGATGTACAGCACTTTGCTTTGGAGTGGTGCAGTATAACTATGATGTGAATCAGCATAGAGTGTACATACGAAATGTCTAGTATGTAATCAACAAGTCATAGTATGTGATATAGGAATAACTAGTCATAGTAAGGTGCCAGATTATGTGATATAGGTATAGGTGGGTAGGGCTAAAGGACCGGGAGAATCACCTTGGGGTATGTCAGATTATACCAAGTACATCCATCCAGGCAAAAAACATCCAGTGTAAGCACCTTGCATAACATACAGAGATCAACAAGTGCAATACTCCTGGGTAAAACTTAGGGGGAAACACTTTGAATATATAGGATTAGTCGAAGTGCAGTCCACCCAGCCAAAAAGACTCAGTGCCTTGGAATTCTATCGAGTAGGTAAAGTGCAGTCCAAAGGGGCAGAAACATCCAGTGGAGGCACCCTGCATAAGCATGTATATTATAATAAGAAAATGTGGTCAACCTGGGCAAAACATTTGGAGCAAGCTCCTTGGGTCCAGAATAGTATGTTATTGCCTACTTAATAATTATAAAGATCACAGCCCTTTTCTCGCTGAGTAGGTACTTATAAGTTATAATTTTGATTTCTTTCATTGTACAATCCCACTCAAGAGGAAACCTGCATGGTCCGCCACTCCAGCAACTGAGAACCAGAGTGGTAGGAACTCCCGTGCTCTATTTGAAGAACAAAGGGGGAGAATACATGTTTGGGAGTCCAGAGGAATGACACACACTATGTAATGACTGTCCAAGATACCCTATTCCTAAAAAGAAGAAAGCTATGGGTTAGTGGGGATGGGAAAAAAATCCACATCTGCTTTACTCATGAAGTCCAAGAGTGGTGGTCCATTATACAAAATACATTGATAATTAAAGTTATATATATATAT